AGGCTTGCACCTGGCACGGGCACCGTAGCCAGCCTGTGCCCCTTTAAGGGGTCCGTGGCCGGGAGGGGGGCAGATGAGTTTCCCTGGTGTTGGCCAGAGTGGCCACCAGGGAAACCTGGGGAGGGCTAGCCTCCCACTAGTTCGAATTAAGGGTCTACACAGCCCTTAATTCGAACTAGTAAGTTCGAACTAACTTAATCCTCGTGGAATGAGGATTACCTAGTTCGAACTAAGCGCTCTGTTAGTTCGAATTAAATTCGTACTAACGGAGCACTAGTGTAGCGCCTATGAAAGTTAGTTCGAACTAACAGATGTTAGTTCGAACTAACTTTGTAGTGTAGACATACCCTCCTTTAGTTAAGCTCCACTGGCTCCCTAATTCCAAATCATCCCACACTGTTGGTAGGTGAAAAGATCTGACAAATGCCCTGGCATTCTCCCCAGTATGCCCTTTCCCTCCCCTGATGGACCCCTACAATAGAGACGGGGAATTGAACATGGTGCAGAAGACAACTCTGCCGGCTTTACTTCAGGAAAGAGTTCATCTCCACAAGAGGAATTATCTCAAGACAATTTACAGCCAGAATCCAGCCATTTTGCAGTATGGGCACAAGCATCCATGACTAGTTGATGTTTACAAGTGGTCTTAGTTCCAAGTAATGTAGTTATATAGAATGTGTCAGTAATCCAGTCTGGAGGTGGCAAAAACATGGATCACTATGTCAAAGTTCATATCTGAAAGAAAAGGTGACAACTTCCTGAAAAGGCTCAGCTGGTGAAAAAGCATTCTTGATGGAGATGCCAGCATGTTGTAAAACCTACATGATCTCAGCTCCCTTTATTGTTTTGTTTTACAGAAAACCTAAAACTGGAAATAAACCTACAAGAAAGTGTGCCTTCAAAATAACTATTTAAATGGCTAACCTATTCTGAGTTGGTCATTTTTTGTATTATTTCATCTCAAAGGAACTGGCCTCCTCTTTTTCAAATTTGGACTTGTTTTAGATGCAACATGTTTAATTTATAATTCCAAATTTTAAAAATATAAATAAAGTAGAAATTTCAACATCCCTCAGGCCAAAGAAAAACAGTTAACTTGTTAAGTTACAGTCAAATTGTGGTATTTTCCACAGTCATTAGAAAGGTTGCTACTGACTAGTTGACTGTGATTCGTGTTTTTGTTTTAGTATGTTTTAATTTAAATAATCATTACATCTTAGTTTTGTATTATTTTAGATGTCCAAGAAACAGTTGCCAAAAACCTATCAACATCAAATGTTTTACAGGTAATCTCTCCTTTGGTAAGCATTCAGATTTATTATTGTCTGACTCTGAGGGTGTGTCTAGACTGCATCCCTCTGTCGACAAAGGGATGCAGATTAGTCACATCGAAATTGTTAATGAAGCAGGGATTAAAATATCCCATGCTTCATTAGCATAAACACGGCCACCCCTTTTTTTCGACATAGAGCTTTGTTGACAAAAAGCGGCAGTCTAGACGCGGATCTGTCGAAAATAAACCCTTTTTCGACAGATCTTGTAAATCTCATCTTTTGAGAAATACAGGATCTGTCAAAAAAGGGTTTATTTTCGACAGATCCGCATCTAGACTGCTGCTTTTTGTCGACAAAGCTCCATATCGAAAAAAAGCAGTGGCCATGTTTATGCTAATGAAGCACAGGATATTTAAATCCCTGCTTCATTAGCAGTTTCGATGTGCCTAATCTGCATCCCTTTGTCGACAGAGGGATGAAGTCTAGACGTAGCCTGAGAGAGAGTTTACAGTAAAAATGTGATAGTATTGATATTTGTTTTTTTTAGCATTAACTCAATTGCTCTGAATTCAGAATGCCATTTGTGTGGGATACTGTTCATAACAAAGCAGTCTGACCTAGCAGTGAGAGCCAGGCAACTAGCAGGAGCCTACTGATTGCACACCACTGGGTACATAGGCTCTGACTTTTTGCTTTGCTGGTAAATGCCCCACTTTGGCTCTGCCCCCACGGCCAATCCCCACTTCACCCTTCCTGTCCCTGTTTTGCCCTTTCCCCTTGGGATTGCATTCAGGGGTCCTGCCAGAGATCAAAGCGGGAATCAGAAGCCACACCAAAAGCCAGAGTCAGGGTCATTGTCTCAGGAGTAAGCTGGAGTCAGCATCAGAAGTCACACCCAGGTGAAAGATGCAGTCAGAAATTTGGGATCAGTGCAAGGAAGCAGGAAGAAGGAGCAGGGCCTGATAGTGTGAGCAGGGACAAGACATACTGATAGGAACAAGGATTGGGAACTAAACAAAAAAGTAGAGATTTGGTCTCAGAGATCTAGGTAGCAACAGGCCTAGCAACTACTTGCTCAGGAACAGAAAACTTTATACCTAGCCATTCCTCTTCTGGATCTGGAGCAGTTGTCACAAAGCCTATAAAGTTTCCAAAGCTCAATGAGGCCCTTAGTTATTTTGGGAGAATGGGAGGCAGGGAGTTAGCAGCCGTGCATACCAGAACGAAGCTTGCTTTTCTTCCTGTTCTAGGGATGTTAAATAGTGGTTATTAAGCTAATTGAGTAGTCAATGTAATTTCCATCAACTACTCGATTAGTTAGTAAGGGGGTTTGGTGTGGCTCTGCTTTTTAAATGTAGTAAGATCTGCCTGGTCCCAGACGCTGGTTGCTTTACTACATTTAAAAAACAGAGGTTCAGTGTCTGGGAGCCAGAACTGCTCAGTCACAGCTTGCACCAGGTCCCCGCTGCACCTCTGCCTCCCCTGCCCTGCCCAGTGGAGAAAGAGTTGGGGGGAACCATCTTTTTAGCTAGCTCTCCCCAGCACCGGCTTCTGCTCCCCCACCTTCCTGCCTTTGCTGCCTCTGATATAGAGGCAGTTGGGGGAGGGGGGAAGCAATTAGTCGATTACTCACTCAATTAGTCACTTACATCCCTGGGGGGGGCGGGAGGACTTGGAATTCCATGCATGCTTCTCACTACTGGTACTTTCCAAGTACTTTCCAGTAGTTCTCTGATAGCCAGGGAACAGGAAGAATAGCAAGCTGCATCCCGGTACGCATGACTGCTGCCTGCCCTGCTCTCCCAAAATGAACTGCAGAGATGATTTCATGTTCTACAGTGAATCTGCATTTTATTTCATCTTTCAGTATTTATGTTTCCTATTTATATCATTTGGTTTCTTTTCAGATATACATATAGGATCGCATAGTCTAGTGAGTGCCTTAAGCATAGATGTTATGCTTTAGATTATCACTCTGTTATTCAAAAAATAGTGTGTGATTTTGTTTCTCTGTTAATTTACAAGATATGTATATTGCAAAAAAAAAAAAAACCAGAAAAATGACGGACTGCTTCAGTTTTATTACCCAACATATATGTAATGAGTGTAAAGAAGAATGCGGGCTGAAAGAAGTTACTCATTCTTCAAGAGGTCTCTATACCATTCCACTAGTGGGCATTGCACCAGCTGTACTACGTAACAGTAGATATCTCTAGAAGTAGTGCCTGTAAAAGCACTCGTACCCCTAATGATCTAGTGGTACCAAAAGCAAGGCTGTAAAAGAAGGCAGAGTTTCAACTACTTCCATTACTTCCAGCCTTGATAGCATATGTGGAATTTTGAAAAGTCAGATTCTTCTTCGAGGGTCCCCATGGGTGCTCCACCTTAGGTGCATCAGCATAACTGCACACTGGTCGGAGATTTATATTAGCAGTCCCCCTAGCCTGCAGCTCCTGCAATGTGCCAGCACAAGCATTCTGAGTGCACTACTCCACATGCGCAGCCAGCTACCTTCACTTCCTTCTTAACCGCCACCAGCTCCGGTAGCAGCTTAGCAGTCACCTGCTTCACCTCAGCATTAAATCTTTTCAGGTACATAGCTATTCTTCATTTACCTCAGAAATTATAGTAGTAGTAGATAGTATAAGTGTTTTACCTTAGATTTTAAAAAAATCTTTATTCAGTGGTTACTTCGTTTTAATTAGTATAACAGATTACAGGACTGTGAACTAGCGTTGATAACAAAATGCCGAAACAGAACCCTTCTGGGATATGCCGGGTTCGTACAGGTTTAAAAGGTATATAGGCTGTAAACTATCTATATCAGTCTCCGATGGACACGACCTGTGCGTCTGTTGCCTGGGTGAGTAGCACCTAAGGGAACAGTGCCCTCACTGCAAGAAACTAACATCTAGAACGAGTAAGTCCTGAGATCGAAAGATAAAAATGCTACAGCTGAAAAAGAAGACGCATCTGGCATCAGATCCAGAACATAGCTCCCCCCCCCTCCTGAAACCATCACCTGGGGCGGCATCTGACAGGGCACCTATTACTAAGCCTGGTGTAAGGGACCGGGGCAGGTCTCAACAGCCTACAAAGAAGTCCCACTCTTCCTCAGTGACAGACTCCCCTTTGAGGAAGCGATCCCTACATGCTAATACTGCCTCCAAAACCCCAGCAGTAAAGGGATCCAAGAAGCTGTGTAAGAATGGGATCAGCACTGAAAAAAGCCAGGACCCAAAGCAAAAGGCTCACATTGCCATGAAGGCACCGCCAGAGGCAAAAGGCAAAACCTCTGACTCAGCACCAATCACGAAGCTACCAGCACCGATTGTGGCAGGCACAAAGCCGCACCGGGAAACAGCAATGCATTCCACAGCAGGGCGCTCACCACCATCAAAGCCATGTCAAGAGTCTGACACAAACAACGCTACTGCACCAATGGCAACATCAAAGCCGTGCATAGAAACAGGAAAGAATACCACAGCAGAGATTCCAGCACCAGACAAACACTCAGTACTGGTGAAATACAAGAAACAGTTGAATCAGACCAAATGCTGATGCAGATACCAACAGCTCTGGTACTTCACATAATGATCCCTCCTATGCCAGTTTACAATTTGTGACTGTGGAACATCAGTACTGGTACAGATAGGACCACACAATCATTAAGGCATTGCTTGTCATCCACACCTGCCACATCCATATTGCCGGTATTCAGTGAGGGTGAAGAAGAAGTACATGCCAACTCATATCACATTGATACTCCTCACCCAAGCCTAACCAACAATGGCAACTGCAGCAATGGCTTCCACTTCCTATCCCACCAAATTGGCTATACTGGAATCCATGTGTGCTATACAGATCACAACAAATCCAACAGATGCAGAAAACACAGCAATCAGTACCGGCATCGAAACCAGATATCAAAATAGAGAGCTCCCCAGGCAGAGAGAGCTTAGCTATGCCAAGGAAGAGGATGATGTTGAGTATGACATACACCCAGTTCTCCCTCTATCAATATGGCATCAACTTCTATAGCTGATACAATTGTGCCTCCACCAGCTGCAACAGGGGACAATTTCAAGTGGTTCCAAGAACTGTTCAGGAGAGTTGCCGACTCACTTGAGATTTCCCTCTCTGCTATGCCAGAAACACAACACAAATTCACAGACATACTGCATATTTTGCCACATATGAAACTAGCGCTCCCAATGAATGAGGCCCTTATGGACCCGGCTAGAAACATTTGGAAATGTCGTCCACAATATCACCGACCGACAAGAGGTCAGATCGAAAGTACTATGTCACGCCTCTGAACTGTCATTCATGCTTAAATTCGACACTTTACACCTAAGCTTAAACAAAGACATTAATTATCTTACCCATTACAAAGATAGCTTCCCCAATTATCACCTCTAATATCATTAGCTCACAGATATTTACCTTCCCCCCCCCATCCCCCTTCTGTTCTGAAATTTGATTTTTTTTAATTGTATCCTTTGGTATATATGGTTGTGACAATTTTCTTCAACTATTTGATATGAGGAAGTGAGTCTGGCCCACGAAAGGTCATCACCTAATAAACCATCTTGTTAGTCTTTAAAGTGCTACATAGTCCTGTTTTTTGTTTCAGCTACACCAGACTAACACGGCTACATTTCTATCACTTTTATACAAAGATACAGATCTACAACCTTTAATCAGCTGCAGTGTCATTATGACAACCATGCCAAAACAGGTGCAATCAACATCTCAACAGCTATCGATGTCTAGATACGCATTTTGAAGCATTGGTCGAGGGTCAGACAACCCCAACATTTCCAGGACAGCAATTTGAACCCTCCAAAATATTTGACAACAGATTAGCCACATTTGACCCAGCCTGGAGTGCCATAACCACCGACAGGTGGGTGCTGGAAATTATAAATACTGGTTATTGTATCCCATTTTCAGTTATCCCCCCCCCCTCCAGACCCCTTGCCCATCCCTCTTCAAGGACCCCTCTCATG